CCGCGGACCTAGTCAGAGCTGCTTTAATGTCTGCTTTCTGGCGTTCTGGCGGAGCGGCCGAGCGGCAGAGCGCCAGAGTGGGGAGAGCCAGTCTTCAGGAGAGGGGCGCCGCTGTGCCGCTGAGCCGAGATGTGAAAGTATGCTCCCAACCCAAGTACACCGTAGTTGTCTTCCAAGCCACCAGCTGTAAAATCATTCAAGGATCGAAAATGGCGATACGCCTTTGAAAACAGGTCAATAGTTCCCTTCATGCCGCCCCGTTTCGTTTCACGCCTTCTCCGCGGTTTTCCCAAGAGCTTTCCGCGAGGTCAGACGAATAACTTACGTGGATACGTTTTCTGTGTTTGCCCGGTGTGATGTGGAGTCAGATCGAGCCTGGATTCTGCTCTTGACGACAGTGTAGTGCGCGTACAGGTGGTTTGTTATTATTTCTCTAAGCACAGTTAGACCAGTGCTCATTTTGAATTCGCCGTTTCAGTTCCCTGACGTACCTCCGCTGTTTTATATAATTACTCGGTCAAGTGTTAGCTAAATCTACGATTAGAATGGTGACAGGGGAATGAAAGATACGCATCTGTGCGTGATCGGGTGTTAAATCCCTCGGGAGTGTGCGTGTTTACTGTGTACATCATTGTGGAATAGTGCGCCTGGAAGTTATACTCATTTGATGTTGCTGGTGCGGTCCCAGATCTGCAATATATCCAATGGTGACTTGAACCCCCGAGAAGGAAAGTGTTAGTCTGAGTGTTCGGTATCGGCGGATCATCCCTCCTAAATTGGATTAACTCAAGGGATGAGATCATGTTATGAATCAATCAAGGAGTGGAGGAAAATATTCTTGATGCTCGACAATAAGTAGGATTATCATTATGCAACGACAATGGTTGGCAATAGTGACCTTATTTCACATTTATTCCGCAGGTAACTTATATTCTTCACGTTTGATTTGCATGTTTGTCTCATAGCTACGGCAACTGTTGACATTTATATCATTTACAATATAATAGTATGTAACACTATAATTTTTGTAATGGTTACTCTCCGATACGTTACATCCGGATAGACAATTCCTCCACTCATAGTGTATCAAGAAAAACGGAAGATTCTGACGAAGTTTCCACAATCCACATGTGCTCCACTTCCTATACATGGTTATTATCACTAAGTTCATGACTTACACTATTAGGGACGTACAAAGCCGAAAGTTTTCTAGAAGTTAGGGGATGCAGATTAGATCTGAATATGGGGAATGCCTAAAAACTGCATTAAATCCCCCTGTTTAGAAAGGAGGAGGAATTCCGAGTGAAAGGGGAGAGGGGTCCAGAACTTTCCTCTTTCGGACCTCGATCTCTTCCTCATAGTCACTCTAAAGCTGGCTATGAAAGGCAGCGTCTCGCCTCTAACAAAAAGTTCATTGGCGGATCCAGCAAACTGGCAACATTGTTTTTCTCCATTTAAATCTATGGAAATATATCGATTCTTGGAGGGGCCAGGTGCTCCTACAATCGATTGTTTACCATGGGTTATGGAAGGAATCCGGTGTTGCCAAATTGCTGGACCCGCCTCTGAAAAAGTCCTTCAATGTTGTCCTTTTACTGGCCAATATTTAAATCTGAGGGTAGACAACCCCTTGTCCTTATTGACAACCCTGCAAAGCCACCTCAGCTTCTGAGCCTCAATTGAATAACTATATTGAACTCTTTTTTTCCTCAGTTACATGAGAGAAAATTGATGGAAAGCCCTGAAAGGCGGCAGCGATGCGCGGATCCAATATAGGTAAAAAGAGCGATCAGAGCCCCCCCACAGCATCTACCCGTGCCTCGGAATATTTAGGGAATGGGTTAGAGAGGGCGGAGATCAGTGCAGACAGCGTCATTCTTAGGGCTATAAATTTGAATTCGATTTACCCTCCCGCCGCCCTCCTCCTCCGTCTCGGGCATGAGCAATCGATTGCTTGGAGATTTCAAGAGGCCCCTGGCCCCTGCTCCATCCCGCCCTCTGAAAAGTCATTTCAGGCTTCTCGTCTCGTTTTTAAGTTATCGCTTCAACAGCTGTAGTTTAAATGACATCTGTCGCCAAAAGCGGTCAATGCACGGGAAACCCATAAGGATGAAAAGAGTCGCATCCTGCATTGCAGCTTGTGAGTTTATGGCAGTTTTCCATTGAAATAGGGTTTACTCCACAGGTTTATGATTTTCGAATAGATATTGTGTGATTTCAAGGCACGAGGATTCTATTGCTGAAATCTTCAGTCTCGATATTTGCATACCAAAATTGACCCCCCCCCCCC